GAAAACTATACACAATAAATTCTACACATTGAAAAAAATACAAGCCTTTTTATGTAAAGAACAAAGAGATTTCTGAGTTGAATCACACAACTATTATTTGCTGTAGGCCATGTAATGGTGCACTGTAACTATAAATTATTTGCAACCAAAGTGTATGATAATTCCATAAAGCTGCCACACTCTACTTTCAAATCATACATCTGGATGGAAAAAGTCAAATGTGCTTTGCCCCACAGCAAGATATAAAACTGTTGAAAAAAAAATTCATTGCTGGTTTCCCTGGAGTTTCTTAATGCTTTTCTACGATGGGCAGTGTTGTGGGCTGAACTGTGTCTTGCAAATTTTTTTTTTTAACCTTTCTTATTTTGCTAAATAGTAGTTATAGCTCAACTCTCAAATCGCTTTTGTTTGTTTTTTTTAAAATATATATTTTATTGCATTTTAGGTTTTGGGGTACATGTGAAGAGCATGCAAGATTTTTGCATAGGTACATACATGGCAATATGGTTTGCTGCCTTCCTCCCAATCACCTACATCTGGCATTTCTCCTCATGTTATCCCTTCCCTATTCCCCACCCCTCACTGCCCCTCCCCTAGTTCCCCCCTACAGACCCCAGTGTGTGATGCTCCACTCCCTGTGAATTTTTATGTTGAAGGTCTAACCCCCACGTCTTAGAATATGACTGTATTTGGAGATAGGACCTTTAAGAGCTAATTAAATTAAAATGAGGTAATTAGAGTAGGTCCTAATCCCATTTGACTGGTATGCTTATACAAAGAGAAAGATACAGCACAAATGACTCAGAGGGAAGGTCATTTTAACGTACAGGGAGAAGACAGCCATCTACAAGCCAAGGAGTGAGGCCTCAGAAGAGGCCCCACTTGGCCTTGGACTTCCAGCATCCAGAATAATCAGAAAATAAATTGTTGTTGTTTAAGCCACTTGCTCTGTGGTACTTTGTTTTTGGAGCCCTGGTACACTAATAAAAGCAATTTTCCATCTGCTCTTGTAGATGTGCTATAAAGGCCATTGGGCTTCTCCTTCACCACTTACCTGCTCATCTGCAGGTAATAGCACCACAATACCTCTATGATGTGAATGGAATTCAATTTTGAGATGAATGGTAAAAGCACTAATTTGACTCCTATTAGAAAAATTCTCCATGAAGATATTTCTAGGTGTTAGAAGAAAGAGAAGTGTGGCATCCCTGAAAAATGATGGGCACCAGTTGAAATGGGACTTTCCAAACACTCCAAATGCAGCCTGGAAATTGATCTCATCTTTCTATGAAGATGTTCTGAGAAAACAAACCTGTTACCACTTGGTCAATGGCAGATGCTGTTCTCAATTTTAAAATACAGCTCTGTTGTTTTCTAGCTGAATGTCTCGTTGTTCATCCCCGAAACAGAAGGTATCATAAATTTAATATAGTTGCTGCCTTGGCATCCATTTTTTTTCCTTTCAGCCTTAAAATCTCTATAATATTGATTGATTAATTGATATTTTTTAGAGATGGGGTCTTGCTCTCATCCAGGCTGTAGTTCTGTGGTGTAATCATAGCCAACTCCAGCCTCAAACTCCCAGACTCAAGTGGTCCTTCCATCTCAGCCTCCTGAGTAGTTGGGACTACAGGCATGCACCACTAAGCCCAGCTAACTTTTTTTTTTTTTTTTGGTAGAGACAAGTTCTTCCTATGTTGTCTAGGCTAGCCTCAAATTCCTGGATTCAAGCAATCCTCCTTTTGCAGGTATGAGACTCAGTGCCTGGCCAGCATCCATATTTAGCCTAAAGTAAGTTGTTTGAAACCCAGTTGTATCCTGTTACCTTTGACTTACTTAAACTTCCCTCCCTGTGTGATTGTTTGTGATATGTTCCACTTGTTCCTCATCCAGCTGACCCCAAACCCAATATGCTCCGCAACTGCAACTGCTGGTCATGATAGAAATCTAATAGTGACAAAATCATAGAAGTAAGTTCCTGCTTCCTGTTTTCTTTACTCGATCCACAACCCCCATGGGAAAGCCTAAGGGGTGGTGCATACGGACCTATTAAAGACAGTCCCCAGGTGCTCGATCTCTCTTGCTTGCCAGTTGCTGGCTGGACTCCCTGCCACCTCCAGCCTTCCTGTTGGCATCCCTCATCTGTCTGGGACCTGTGAGTACTACGTCTTCTGTTTCATGCATTTTAGTTTCACTTCCTCACTATGTCTCCCCTGACACACATATCTGAACGTAACTTTTCCCCAACCCCTGTCAGAGCTCTCCTGGATAGTGACTATCCTGGCTTATGGCCATTCTCAAGAGAGAGAAACCTCAAGACCAAATTAGGAAAAACCCTAACATTGGGTGGTGTGAATACGGTACCTCCTTTCTTAGAGTTATCATCATGAAGATTGATGATTTACCCATGTGAAGAAATGAATGCTGTGGCTGACTGATAGAAACCAAATCAAAAATGTTTGAATTATGATTAACTAGTATGTTATTATTTAATATATTATTTAATATATTAATATGTTGATTAACTATCAACATTATTGAACTGTAATAGTAATTTTCATTGAACTATTATTATTGAACTGTAGTAGTTATGCCTGTGTCATACCTTTAGTATGATCTCTTTGATTCTTTTATTGTTTTATCATGCATTGTGTCTCAGATTCCCAATTATAAAATTTACAGACATGTGATTAACGTACTCTAAAACACAGATATTTTGTTTAATTATAAAAATGATTTGTTTCTGAATTATTATTATTGCATTGGGAAAGATTATGAACACTTGCTACAGATATTTTCAGTAATAATTCAGTCTAAGGAAATATATGACAAGTAAGAAATATATTCTAATTTAAAGATGGCATAGTTATGAATTAAACGCAAGTTCAGATTATTGACAGATAAGGTATATTATCTATATTAGTAATCACATTCCATTAGACATCACCTTTATTTCATATTATGTATTTAGAATTTTCAAATACCTAGTGTTTCAACATTGCAGCAATACTCTAGCATTTTTGAAGATTTTAACACTTCATTTTAAATGTACTTACTATTGTAAATACAGACTGAAAATAATTTCATAAGCATTGTGTACTTCAAAGTGTTGATGTGAGATTGAGGATGATTTTATTACTTCACATGCTCATGTACTGCAATACATTAAAAAATTTAAAGTAGCCAGGCGCGGTGGCTTAAGCCTGTAATCCCAGCACTTTGGGAGGCCGAGGTGGGTGGATCACGAGGTCAAGAGATCGAGACCATCCTGGTCAACATAGTGAAACCCCGTCTCTACTGAAAATACAAAAAGTTAGCTGGGCATGGTGGTGCGTGCCTATAATCCCAGCTACCCAGGAGGCTGAGACAGGAGAATTGCCTGAACCCAGGAGGCGGTAAGCCAAGATCGCGCCATTGCACTCCAGCCTGGGTAACGAGCGAAACTCCATCTCAAAAAAAAAAAAAAAAAAAATTAAAGTAGCAATTTTTCAAACAATAATTTGTTTAAATAATTGTTAATATATTTAACACTCCTAAAACTGTCTCATTTTTTAAAAATTTTGCAGTGTGCTTTTTGATTCTGCATCATTGGAAATACCTGCTGATAGATTAGTTTCAGTATCAATAGATCATAATGATGTAATTATTTATTATCTTATGTTAGTGTGGCTTCCTGCAGACTTTATTTTAGAAGACATGCAAATGAAAATGATGTCATTATTTCCAAACATCTCAAAGAGTCTAAAAATTATAAAATCTTACAAATTATGATTTGATACTGAAAGGATTTGAGAATATTTGCTTCATACATCATAGCAAGTCACATTTTAGAGATATACTGTAGTTAAAGCCCTAAGTTAAATGCACTTAGCAGATTCACCTTTCAATTATAAAATTAGGGAGAAGTACTTCAAATTACTTGGAAGAACTTAGCCCACGAAGGGCATAAGCAGAGAGCTGACCATCTCTATTGGTTTTCTGCAGCTGTTCTGGATAGCTACCCACATCCCACTCTGATCTACAGGCAAGGCATCCCCTTTATTGTTTTGCTCTGATAGATTGCTTAAGAGGATGAATGTACATCAGCACCCTTTACTCACTCCTTCCCACCTGCCAGAGTCACCGGTTATATGACAAACCACTTCAGATGGAGATGGAAACCTCAAAAGAAAACTCTCTGAGAAGCAAGTACCAACAATGCTCACAGTAGCCTGAAATTTCCTGGAAACAATTCTTGCCATGGCTAAGGAAAGCACTTTGGACACTGCGACTTTAATGGCACCATAAAAATAACAAGGCATTAAACAAGGCTCAGCCTTAATAGGCTGCAAGAGGGAGAGTGAAGGAAAATATTCAAATTACTCAAATCTAACTAACGGCACATTCAATCGATGTAAATACATTACTCAAGGTTCTCTGATAACCCTGAGAAACCCCTAATATAGGTTTCTCCTATATTCTAAAAAAAAAGTGTGAATGACTACTGTTCTCAGACCATCCTGGAACTACTTCTACAGTTGTTAAAATTTGGAGTTAGAAACTGGGGAAGGAATAGGGGTGGAATGCTGGAACAGTTTGAATTCTTACTATGAATATAAATGGGCTTCCAATTTCCAACAGTGTTATTTAACATGGTAGATGTTAAGCATGGGGCCCAGCAACCTACAAGTTGGAGAAGGAATCACAGATCATGCAATTTAGGGCAAGGGGAAGTGTCTTTAGAAATCATTTATTAATAATTAGCCCCTCAGTTTTGATGTGAACCACTGAAACCCAAGAGATGAACTGACTTCCCTAAGACAACACAGTGACCTCTTGGGGCAGAGAGTCCCAGAGCCTAGATTTTATGTCTCCTTGTTCAGTGCTTAGAAACTATGATACAAGTTGGCAGGGGTGACAGTGTGGGACTGTCCCAAAGATGAAAAACAATAGGAACAGAAATGATGCCTACACTTCTTCAATTCTCAGTTTGAAAGGAAACAAGAAGTGGCTTTACTCACCTACAGAGAAAAACTCATTCATTTTCTTTTTGTAGATTTTGAAGTCAACTTCTAAGAAGACACAGAAAATGATCCGATCCACCTAGAGGCAAAAGATAAACAAAGTGAAAGAAAATATGGCAGCTGCCCTCCCAGAACATGGTCTTAGAACAAAAACAAATGGAAAAGGCTCATACAGATTTTTGGTGCTATACTGCTAGCTACATCATAGGATTGAGTGAATACAGTTCAAGGATGTGTAGAAGAATGTGTATATGTGAGAGACAGAGAGAGAGAGAGAGAGAGAGAGAGAGAGTGTGTGTGTGTGTACTCTGTATGTAAATAAATCTATGGGTTCTTTGGTGAAAAGATGCTATATAAATCAACTAAGAAATAATAAATGACAATAAGCCACTTTGCAGCAAGCTATAAATAAGATCTGAGATTCCGACAGGATAGCTAGATTTTATGTCCTATAAAACAGCCACATGAGAGGTATACAGCAGAATTACAATAAACTATGTCGGTAAACAGAGAGCTCTTTGTCCTATTCTTGCTAGACAAATATATTTATCAAACCTGTTAGTATTTGAACAAGGCCTAAAAAGCTTCCATGCGGTTTAATTTGCATAAAGCCACCTGCTTGTAGTTTAACACACTTGGAAATGCAACAGAAATAAAATGTAACTAGTTGACAGTTACACAAGGTCACTATAACATTTAATTTTGTAGATATTATTGAATAAGTAAATGCCTCTAAAAAGTAAAATGTGTGCATAGTCGCTTTTTGTTTAGAGGGAACTTCCGTATGTAAGGAGTGTCTTTGAAACATTCAGGGTAATATAGTACATGGAGGAGAGACATAGAGTATACGTAATAGCTCACATGTATCTGATGAAATCAGTGACTCAATTTTGTTTCCTGAAATAAATACTCCTTAAGTCATTTTGTTTTAACAACATTTTAAAAAGTTGAAACTCACTAACTGGCAGTTGGCATAGAACATCATGGCAGTAGGAAATGGAAGTGGGTATGGGTGTGGAAGGATAAGAAGGAACCCGAACGGAAGCCACCCACCTAACCTCCCTGCTCTCCCAGCCTGTGTGATACAGATCTCACTAGTAAGACAGTTCCCAGTAGAAAAGGAGGTCTAGAGGGGCAAGAAGTGGGGACTGGGTCACAAGGAATCACCAGTTTTCTGATGGTAGCCCAGAGATTTGGCTTCTGAATCTCTGCACAAGCCTAGACCTCACTTAGGATAGACTGCCTCCTGGAAGATCACTGGGCTTCTATCCTGCAATCATCAAAGACCACACAGCCCCTGTAACTGCCCTCATAGGATGGATTATATGCGGAAGAGTAGATGGAACAACTAGGGTACGAATAACCACATTTCCTTTTTTGTGTGTTCACTCTTCTGTCTGGTGTCCAGTCCCGTCTGCCTATCATTAGCATTTTCCATAAATGCAAAACCTGTCCTTGGCAACTCATTCTCAGGTGAACTATAAATTTAGTTGAACAAAGGATAAGCTGTGCAACAGTGAATGCTCATCTCCACTCTCCGTGTGGCACGTTCACCCGTGGCTAAAGCGCAAAATCAACATGTTGAGCGATAGAAACAAGCTGCCAAAGGACACGTACTCTCTGATCCCATTTCTCACACTTTTAAAATGTAAAGATACGCAACAGTGCAGGGATCTCTTCCTAAGTACTGTTAAAACAATTAATTGAGAGGCCATGAGACTCAGGTGGCTTAAGCATCCTGGATTCCTACATAAACCAAAGTGGAAACAGTCACAGGAAATTTAAGCTTAGCCAGTCAAACACTGCCAGCTAAGGGACTTCTCACTGGAATGATACAAATAAGGCGATTTCTCCGCTTTAAGTGATGATATAGTCTCTTTGACTTGTTTTCATGTCAACTCAACAAAAGCCCTTCATGACCCTTCAGTGGAGCCCAGAATCATCTGCAACTTGGAGCTGCCCAATTCATGAGTCGTCATCTGGTCAAAAAAATTCCAAAACTTTAAAGTGCCTCAGTTTACCTTTTAACAGCACTAATATATGGAAACATACAAAGGAATATCACACGTAATGTTTTGAGAATAATGATTTCTGGAGAGAGTGCGGCAGTAAAGGAAGAGGTAAGTAGTGAGCTGACTGAATAGTTAATACTTCATTCATTTAGAAAGAAAAGGGATTTGAGAAAAACATGGCCAATGGCTAATGCATGCTATAGGGATAGATATAAAGCGCTCATATTATATTTTCTATACTTTTCTGTATATGTGAAATACTTCATAATTAAAAGTCCTAAAATTAAAAATAAGACTGTGCACCCTCAGTATCCTCCCTTAAAGGACTCTTAAGCCACATTGAACGATTTGGAATTTCCAAAGACTGTAATTATTCTCCCTTCTGTATCTACAATTGTTGACTTTTTTCCCCCCAGGCTTTACATGATCAGCATCTGTCTAAAGTCAACTAACTGATTGAAAATCCAAACAAGAAAATTTGGCTTAATGCAGACCTGAGAAGACCAGGCCGTACAGTGTCATTTCCTCCATATTTAAAATCATTTAATATAAATTGTGAAATTTAACACTCATGTTTCTTGTGTGTATAAATATGTGCATGAGTGTATATATATGTGTGTGGGGGGGTTAATGGTAATGTTATTCTCTGCTAAGTGTACTATTTTCTTTTTCTTTTTTTCTTTTTTGAGACAGTCTCGCTCTGTCATCCAGGCTGGAGTGCAGTGGCGCAATCTCAGCTCACTTCAACATTCGCCTCCCGGGTTCCTCAGCATCCTAAGTAGCTGGGACTATAAGAGCATGCTACCACACCTGGGTAATTTGTGGTATTTTTAGTAGAGACGGGGTTTCACCATGTTAGCCAGGATAGTCTTGATTTCCTGACCTTGTGATCCACCCACCTTGGCAATGCAGACCATATACAGATATTTCAAATATTGGAAGGAACTATAGCCTGCCTTTTAGCATATTAGGCTCTGTTCCCATGGAAATGATTTGGGTCCAAAACTCAGTAGCCTGATTTATTTTTCCAGAAAAAAAAATAGAAAGATGGTGACAGTGAAACACTTTTATTTTAAATTAACTGAGTGGCCCAATTCCCTGCCCTTACCCTGAGGCATAATGGAAAATATCTTGGAAGTTGAATCCAAGAATTAGTCTTATTTACTAAGTACTTATTATGTATGTATATGTGTATGTCTTTAAGTATACATGAATATATTCTCTGGGGTTATTGTTGAACAAGAGCTAATTTCGTTGACAAGCTCAGTGTTTATGAACGCACGAGGGTACTGATCATGGCTTGTGGCAGATGGTGTATTCCAAGATGGCATGCAATGCACTCTCCATCCCACAGCTCTCCTTACAATGTAATAATGATATTCTTCTCATTGGGAAATGGGATCTACAGTTATTCTTTAAGCAACACAGGTTTGAGCTGCACAGGTCTACTTTTTTTTTTTTGAGACGGAGTTTCGCTCTTGTTACCCAGGCTGGAGTGCAATGGTGCGATCTCGGCTCACCGCAACCTCCGCCTCCTGGGTTCAGGCAATTCTCCTGCCTCAGCCTCATGAGGAGCTGGGATTACAGGCATGCGCCACCATGCCCAGCTAATTTTTTGTATTTTTAGTAGAGACGGGGTTTCACCATGTTGACCAGGATGGTCTCGATCTCTTGACCTCGTGATCCACCCACCTCGGCCTCCCAAAGTGCTGGAATTATAGGCTTGAGCCACCGTGCCCGGCCCCACAGCTCTACTTACACATGCATTTTTTTCAATAAAAGTTAAGCAGAGCGTGCCAGCCTCTTCTGCTTCTTCTACTTCCTCCCCTTCTACTACCCCTGAGAAAGTATACCTACACCCCTTCCTCCTCCTTCTCAGTCTACTCAACGTGAAGACAATACAGATAAAGACCTTTATGATGATACACTTCCATCTCACGAACAGTAAATGTATTTTCTCTTCCTTATGATTTTCTTAATAACATTTTCTTTCTCTAGCTTACTTTATTGTAAGAATACAGCATATAATACATACACACAGGTGTTAATCAATCTTTTATGTTATCTGTAAGGCTTCTAATCAACAGTAGGCTATTACTTAAGTATCCGGGGAGTCAAAAGTGATACATGGATTTCTGACTGCACTGGAGGTAGCTGCCAGTTACCCTCACATTGTTCAAGGGTCAACTGTACTTCCACCTCTTGAATCTGAGAGGCCTATGACTATGGTGGAAATGATGCTATATAACTTTGTAATCCGTGTTATAAAAGGTGATACAGTTTCTGTCTGGTCTTCTTGGGAGGCTCACCCTTGTACCCAACCACCATGCCATGATGGAAGCAGAGAGACTGTATGCATAATCCATGTGTAGCTGTTAGGCCAACCACCCTCACTGAAAGTAGTCAGACTTTAGATTATTTCAACTCCAGACCTTTGAACCATCCCAGCTAATGTCACATCAGGCAAAGATAGGTCAGTCCAGCTTAACACTGATTTCAAATTCATGAGCTAAACATCAAAATACATAACTAGAAATCTAATATTCTTCCAGCTTCTCCCTATAACTGTTTTTTCCAGAGTCTCTTGTTTTTCCAGCTATGTAGTACTTGACTCCTACTGAAAAGCCCAGACTGAATAAATCAAAAAGAAGTCACAGTGGGGTAAAGAGAAAAGTCTAACTGTTACATGGCTAAGAGATTGGAAATCTGACCTGTGCAAGAGAAAATGGGCCCAGGTGATCCCTACTGGCCCCAGATGAATTTCATGAGGGCCTATAAGAAGGCCTCACTATTGAGGCCCAGCAGCATGATTTATTTTTTTTAATGTTAGGCAGTAAAATAATTTTGTGAAATAGTGATCCTTGAGAGACTGTATTTGTTCATTTATTCATCAGATCTTAAGTGATCATTTTCAATTTGTTGGGCCTAGCCTACGTGCCATTCACTTATAGAAAACAATTGAGTGAATTTTTCCCCAAGGCCCAATCAATTAAGGCAAAAACTCAGGTGTCTTCATTTTTTGAATTTATTTTTTAAAAATAAACTAGAGGGCCGGGTGCGGTGGCTC